CAGGAACACCTGAATAGTTTGGGGTTCTAGGAGGGGTTCTCAACCCTCCGTCTACCTATCACAGGAAGTTTGATGTTTCCTCCAAGGCAAAAATGGCACAAACAGGGTGGGAAGGCTACAGGATATGGTGGTCGTGAACTCTTTTCCTAGCTCAGACGGGACCAATCTTTCAGTCCAAACTCTCTCCCTCTTCAAGCAAAAAAAAAAAGTAAGTTAGGCCAGCATTCCAGCCAGCTGCCAGCTCTATCCCTAGTTACACTCTCAAATCTCCGCAAGAGTGGAGACTTGAGTCACAAGAGTTATCAGAAAACCAGTTAGCAGTTTAGGTCTGGAAATTAAAAACACATGACAATGAGAAGTGAACTTTCAAGTCTGATTCTCACCAGTAAGGTTCCTTTACCTCCTTAGTTCCCCTGGAACATGCATGTAAAAGCACTTCCCCCAATTCCAGCCTTGCCTAAGTACCAGATAGCTACTGAGGGGGTGGGTGTTACACAGGGAAGCCCGAGGGATCAAGACAATAGCCCAAGACAGCCACCTATTTCTTTCACTACTTTCCACTAGAGCTTCTTTAACTTTCCTCAGCCCAGGCACTAAAACCCAGGCAGTGAACAGTACATACTAAGAAGTAAAAGCTCACAAACTTCTCGCTCAAGCCCAAACTGATTTTACGCAAGATGTGAAAATTTTCACCTGAGATGAAATGGTGTGGAATTTGCCAACACGCTGCCAGATACAGGGGGACCTCGGAATGATGCAAGTTCAGTTCCAGATCACCACAATGAACCCAGAACCATTACGGCAAGTTGTAATGTTTTTGCTTGGGGGTGGGGTGGGGAGAACAGACTTGTCTTCAATTTCTAAAAAACGAAATACCTGTGAAATCACAATAACACTGCTGTGCCTTTACTGGTAACTGGTTTGATGATACTAGTAAGTATCATCAATGAAATTAAATTAAAAAAATATTTTATTGATTTATTTTCAGACAGAGGAGAAGGGAAGGACAAAGAGAGGGAGAGAAACATCACTGTGTGGTTGCCTCTTGCACTGCCCCCCATGGGGGACCCAGCCCGCAACCCAGGCATGTGCCCTAGACTAGGAACCAAAACGGCAACCACTGGTCTGTAGGCCCTCCCTCAATCCACTGAGCCACACCAGCCAAGGGTGAAGTTACAAATTTTTAATTAACATCACAGCTTCACCTGCTAGAAACCAAGTATCTCTCTATTCCTGGTGCCCACCCTAGCTCGCTCTCACACATCCATCTGGCTCCTCTTTCTCAATTTAGAAATGACACTGTTACAAGTCTTTGAAATCAAGACCCTGTTTCAAGTCTTGACTGATGAAGAAACTGTCTCGTTCGATTCCCAGTCAGGGCACATGCCTGGGTTGGGGGCCAGGTCCCCAGTTGGGGGTGTATGAGATGCAACCGACTGATGTATTCCCTGCACACTGATGCTGCTCTCCCTTTCTTTCTTCCTCCCTTCTCCTCTCTCCTAAAAAAACAAAAACAAAAACCTGTTTCAAGCCCTGGTCAGGTAGTTCAGTTGGTTAGAGTGTCATCTGGATACACCGCGGTCAGGGCACATACAATAATCAACCAACAAATGCATAAGTAAGTGGAACAACAAATTGATTATTTCTCTCTCTTTCTTGAAAAATAAAGGAACCTGTGTCGAAGGAGGATTTCTCAACCTGGGTGCTACTGACATTTGGGGCCAGATAATTTTCTGTTGTGGGGAGGGCTGTCCTGTGCATTGCAGGGTATTTAGCAACCATCCCTGACCTCCACCCACTCGATGCCAATAGCGTTCTCTTCCCAAGGAGTGACTTTCAGGTTTTCATTACCTGTCTCGAACACTGCAAATGTCCCCAGGACGGTGCACGGGAGGAGATGAAAGAGAGCAGGGTTAGTCACCCTTGGCTGATACCAGATGCCAAAAGATACTCTGGGGTTCTAAAGATTTGGAAACTGGATGCTGAGTTTTATGTACATGTCCATCTGTGTATACATGGTTATTGTGTTTTATTTTTCTAAGGTTTTATTTATTTTTAGAGAGTGGAAGGGAAGGAGAAAGAGAGGAAGAGAAACATCAATGTGTGGGTGCTTCTCATGTGCTCCCCACTGGGGACACGGCCCACAACCCAGGTATGTGCCCTGACTGGGAATCGAACCGGTGACCCTTTGGTTTGCAGACCAGAGCTAAATCCACTGACCTACACCAGCCAGAGCTGGTTACTGTGTTTTAAAAACTGGGAAAGGGCCCTGGTCAATGGGTTGAGCACCAGCCTGTGAAGGAAAGGTTGCTGGTTAGATTCCTAGTCAGGGCACGTGCCTGGGCTGTGAGCCAGGTCCCCATTTGGGGGCATGCAAGAGGCGACTGATCGATGTATCTCCTGCACACTGATGTTTCTATTCCTCTCTTTCTCCCTCCCTTCTCCTCTCTCTGAAAGTAAATAAATAAAATCTTAAAACAAACCAAAAAAACCTGGGAAAAGGAGAAGGCTACCACAAGAATGGCCCAAATGGGATTTTTCTGGTATAATTGTCCTCACTTTTCTTGAACTTCAAGTGGGGTTTCTTAACTGTGCCACCACTGCAGGACATCTGGGGCCAGGGAACTCGGTCCTGGCAGCTGCTCAGCATATTGCAGCATGTTGAGCAGCATCTCTGGCCTCTGCCCACTAGACACCATTAGCAATCCAAGTTGTGACAATTAAAATGTTTCCTGATGTTCCCTGAAGGGCAGAAGTGACCCTGGTTAAAAAGCACTGTTCTACAGGAAGATAAATGTCCTCAAACCTTTTTGTCTAAAAAGGGGGATACATATACCCTTAGGCCAGATAAATGAGGCCAGTTGAGATCACTTGGTTTAAAGCATATTGCTTGTTCACACTGATAATTCAGTAAGTATTACTGCCCTAACAAAAGATGTTACTCTTCAACAAGCAACCCTATTCTGAGGGCAAAGAGAATGAAAAGGGGTGTTCCTAAGAGCAAGAAAAAGAAACTCACAGAGATGGACACGGCCAGATGAACAGTGAAAATGCTACAGGACTGTGGAAACTACTGCCTGAAAAAAAGGGGACACAGCCAGGGTGACTCTTGAGAGCACAACTCAACATGGAACTGACCAGGTTGCCAAGATGATTACTCTCAGATTAGGATGTGGCCCCTGCAGCAATTCTTTGGGGCTGGACCTCTGATAATAAATTACTTTCCAGGTTTCAAAGGGCTTCTCACACAGGTGTGAATGCAGGCTGTCCCCTGAGAGGAAAAGCTCTGGTGGCTGCCCTGAGAGGCCCAGTTAGTTCGGGATGGAATGTGCCACCAGCATGGGCCCCGGCAGCTGGGGACAGGGAAGAGAGGGCTTCCAGAGAGACCTGTCTACATGAGGGAACAAAGTAGTTCTGGAATCCTTCCAAGACCTATGGACACATCAGTCCTGCAGGAACAACTACATCAGGGCCCCAGACAGTGAGCAGCCTTCCCAGGTGCTCCAGCCAAGCACACGGAAGTCCGATGCCCGCTTGAGCAGGGTCTAGCCTAGGGCCAGGTCATGTAATTCCACCCTCTTAGGGCAAAAGGCTGCACTCTCAGCAATAATCCTAGAATCCTTCTAGATTGTCTCTCTTCCTCTAGGGTTCAGCCATCATGTGAGGTCTGCAGACAACTCCAAATGTCTTTAGCCCTAGACAACCACTAGTGTTGTGACTTTTCCATTTAAGGGATAAAAGATATCAGCTGTGTGTTCCTGGAGACTCATCTCCCTTCCCTCCCAATGGCCACCTTCAAATCGGGAGTATAGCTCAGTTTGCCAGCATGGCCTCAACAATTCCTAAGATTATCACTCGTTCCTCCATGAAGTCTACCCACACAACTCCACACCTAAGATTCATAACCTGGGACTCGGGGACCAATAGGGTTCAAGGACTCTTGGGCTTCTTGCCCCAGACTTTTAAAAACATCTATACAATCTGTGTCATGTAAAACACATATATTTTTGGATTCAGCATTCCACTTCTGGGAATTTATCCTACAAATCCAATACCCATTGTGAGCAAAGATATTCACTGTAGCAGAAGACTACTGGGAACAGTAGTCTTCTAAATCTAAACATCCATCAACTGAGGACTGGAAATTAATTTTGGTACACTTCATGGAATGAATACCAGGAACCTATTAGAAATATCCAAGAAGCTCCAGAGGTATGTTGAAGAGCAGTAATTCAGGGGGAGGGGGAAAGAGGTTTCGCCAGAGACATCGGGCAGCACCTGGAGACATTGGTGGTTGTCATGACTGGGGGTGCTCCTGGCATTGAGGGCATGGAAGCCACAGTGTTGCTCAACAGCCCCAGGTGCCCAGAACACTCCCTCCCAACAGTGTGTAACCCGAGGTGGAGAATTCCGATAGATTTAACCAAAAAAAGTACACAGGATTACGTAGACAATGCTACATGGCTTGTGTGTGCTTTTAAATGAAAGATACACATATCTTTGAAAAGAGACGTAGTCGTCAGTGACAGTCCTTGTCTCTGGGGAGAAGGTCTGAATGCCTGAGGCACGGGTGAGAAAATGAGTTTTCGCTCTACCTTTCCAACTTTGTACCGTGTCCTTCCAAAGAGTCTTTGTTGTTATTTTTCCTCCCCCTGGGCCATCTGGCAAGAATCCTGTTTCTTCCCCTAGTCTTTCCGCCTTTCCAGCCTTTTTAGAGAGGGGGGAAGGGGATCCACATCCCAGATCAACCTCTGGGGGTCTCTCTGCCCCACCCAAGAGGTCTATCCACCCTTCTCGAGGAGACTGGAGCCCACATGGTGGGCAGGGCCTGGGACACCTCGCAGGAATCCCCCGGTCTTCCTGGGCTCTCCCCACCCTGTGAAGACCGCGTGCCAACATCACCCCCTCGGTACCCACAGCCCTTCTCCCGAACCAGAGCCTGGCCTAACCTGGCTCCTCACTCCGGGAAGCCCCGACCAGGGGGCTCGCCTTCTGCTCACCTGGCTCGCCTTGTAGAACTGCTTCTTCAGCCCCGCCACCGACATTCTGCCTTTCGCTGTGGGACCTCCCGTCCGGACCCAGGGAACCGGAGGTACAGCGTAAGCGACAGGCTCCCAAGCGCTGCTGAGCCCCCGAGCGCCTCAACTGGCCCGGTCGGCGCCGCCTCCACAGCCCTCTAGCCAGCTCCGCGCCCGTCCGGGCGCAGCCTTAGCCTCTCTCGCGCCCGCGCGGCCAGGATATTACATGGCAACCGCACACTTCCGGCGACCGCCCGGTCTGAGCACGCGCGCGCGCGCGCGCCCTGCCGGCCAGAGAGCGCAAGCGCACTTCTCTTGCTGCGGGCTGGGGGGGGGGGGGGTCGAAATGGACGCTTCTGCCAGCTACTGGGCGGGAAGGAGTCTAGAGCGGCCATGGCTGCAGCAGCGACCCCTGGAGAAGTGGAGGTGGCTGTAACGTCATAAGAAAGGCGCTTAAATGTTTCTGGAGAAGTTGGACACTGGGTCTCAGCTATACCGATTTCCACCTCGCGTTTAGTCTCTCCCATCCCACTCCGAGCCCTGCCCTGTGTTCATTCATTCATTCAGTTGCCTAAGTCAGGCATCAGGGTGCCGCTTCTACCTCCTTTCCATTATCCCCACTGTCCTCTGCCCTGACAAAACCTTTGATTCCACCAGCTTCCTCTTTGGTGTGCCCACATTCGGGTTTTTCTTTCCAACTTATCTCCCATTTTGAACCCAGAAAGATGCTTCTGTAACACGATTCATATCAAAGTTCCCCGTTTGAAGTCCACCTACTACCCTCAATACATTCCCAACTTCCTAATATGGCCTACAAAACTTGCATAATTTGGCCCCCTCAATCCTCTGATTTCGGCGGCTCTCTTCCTCTTCTATAATCCCTGCTGCCTATGGGCCTTTGCTAATGTTTTTCCTCTCTTCCACATTCTTCCCTAATCTCCTCCATCGTTTGTGCTTAGCAAAGGAATCAATCTACTTGGAATATTCACACAAACACTTATTGAGTACCTTCTAATGTTACAGTCGATGATAGGTCCTGGGGATACAGTAATAAATGGTTCCTGCCCTCATGGAGGTAATGACAAAAACAGAAATTAATTCATAATAAAATGACAGGCAAACAAACATAACCTGTGACTGCTTACAAAAAAAAAAAAAAGAACGTTGTAGACACTTGTTTGGAGTAAGGGAGAAAAGTTCTCAATCTAAGATCTGAAAGTTAGGTAGAAATTAGCCAGGAAAAGAGCTGGGTAAAGTGTTTTCTAGGAGAGGAAACAGTGTGTGCAAAAATCCTCATGATGAAATCAGAAACATGTATTTCATTCATTCCCTCTGAATATATTTACAGCATATCAAATTCTTTAAAGCGCTGCCCAGATTTTATTCTTTGTTCATATAAAAAGTAATTTATAATCTTAATTGCTGTTGCTATATCTAGCCGATGTCCAATTAGGGTAAATTAAAAACTCCAGTCTTCATCTAAATTGCAGTTTCAGATTGTCACCAGTGCCCTACGTAAAAAGTTTTGTCTTGACGTAAAAGCCTGGTCCTCCCACCTACTGATCTACCCCATCCATTGCACTTAGCCAATCACAGTGTCGATCTTTTGGCTTGACACCTCCCGTCCCCAATCGCAGAACACCTTCTTCCCATCAGGCTGCCAAGAGAAAGCCCGCTCCTCTGCGGGAATATCAATAGGAGAGGTGAGGGGAGGAAGGGAAGCTACGGATCTCGCGAGGATTCTCCTTTCGGTGCTCATTTCCCGAGGCGGGACGTCATGTGATGCAGCCTCGTCCAATCGGTGCACGGGCTGCAGGGGTCGCCGCGGTTCCCGCCAAATACGAGCGCGGCGGCTGGGGCTGCAGCGGCGCGGGCGGGAGGGCGAGCATCAGCGGCCGCCGGACCGTAGCCCGCGCCTCCGCCGCCCCAAAGGACCTTGAGCCGCTGCCGGAACGATGCTGGAGGAGCCGGAGTGCGGGGCGCCGGGCGCCAGGGGAGGGGCCACAGGTCGGTTCGATCCCGCGCGGAGAGATAGTGGGGGCGCGGCGAGAGGCCTGTGTGGGCCGAGACATTGGCTTCGAGCAGAAGGTTGTCCCAGCCCCGGACCGATTCTCTGCGCCTGGTGTTTAGTTTGTGGGGTCGTTACAATCCCGAGAAAGGGGCTTGCGGTCCGAAGGGCGTCCTCCTTGACGTTATTGTTGCGGCCGGGACCATTTTATTTCTCCTGTGCTTTTGAGTTAGGTTCGGGGCCCTCTGCAGTGACGGGTCATTGTCGCCAGGAGGGAAAACTGAGATCCAGAGAGGCGAAAGGGCCAGCTCTAGAGGTTGTATTTGTGTTCTCTGAGCAAGTTTGACCCTGCAGAGACCCTGTGGCCGGGTGGGGAAACTGAGGCTCGGGGTCACATGGGCTCGGGGACAGAGCAACTGCTTCTGCAGGTCAGAGCAAGCCCAGGTAAGAGGTCTGGGTGGTAGGTATTGTCAGGAAGCTGAGACTCACGGGTTCTTGATCCTGTCGAGTATACAAGGTGAAGACCTTTCTCTTCCTATGTCTTGGGATGGGGTTTCCAGCACCTAGCAGGCCTCGGAAACATAGGGTGGTGAACCAAGGAAAACTAGACTGAGTTCTTTCCTGCCTGACTTCCATTTTATCCCTAGCACTTCGCACTATGCTTGCCTCATAGTAGGTGCTGACTAGGTAATGTGTTGACTGAGTTAAAGATTGGCAGGGACCTTAACTAGACTAATTCAGGATTTCTCAACTGCAGCACTATTGACATTTGGGGCCCTGTTGTGCACTTGAGGGTGCCAAGCAGTATCCCCAGTCTCTACCCATTAGATGCCAGTAGAAACCTCTCCTCCCCAGTCGTGACACCAGATGTGTCCAGATATTGCCAAGGGCATGGGCAGGGACGGGGGTTGGCAGAATCGCTGCTGTAATTGTTTTAAGATTTGGGGATTTTACAAAGAATTCAAATAAAGAAAGTTAGGTGGACTGACTGTCTTGGACAGTCATTTGACCCAGTAGGGGTGTTTATTTAAAAGTAAAAAAAAAAAAGCATCACCTGCTATGACCATACTATTATAAAATGAAAGGATAGTTTACCACTAAATAAAGTTAGAAAGGATGTGATATCAGAATAAAGAACTGTGGTCAGTTTGTGTGCAAGTGTGCGTTAATTGTACATGTGTACTTTTGTACAGTCCCTATCCCTGAATGGATCGTTTTTAGGTTGGCCTGAGGTAGCTTCTGGGCCCAGGTCACTTATGTTCTGTTTGCATCAAAGCTGGTAGCTCAGGACCACAGCAACAAATCCTTGTGATGATCCTAAAAGTAAGTTTAAGTGGCTAAAGATTGTGTATCCTTCGGTTGAGGGCGGGGGTGGGGGGGGGGATCCAGGTTTTTGGTAACTGAAAACTTGAGAATGAAACTGTATTAAAAGGAGGTATGAGCTTTCTGGGTACCTTAGATTTCAAGCTTAGAAGAGGGGAAGGCAGCCTCATCTATAGACAGCTGAGGTTTTTTGTTTGTTTGTTTGTTTTTCCAGAAAACCCAGGTCTACTTTTTAAAAATATTTACTTGTATATATCTTTTACAAAGCATAAGTAGATTGCCAAAAATCAACTCGATTTTTCCAAGCTACCTCTTCTGGTGGGTGTGAGCTTAAAGATATTATGACTATTTCTTCATCAGCTTTGATATTATTACTTAAGTTTTTTGGTGCAGGAAAACATTTTTTCCTTATTTGTTGACAGCGCTTCAGTTCTTCCTGCCTGGCAAGCTCAAAATGCTTAAGTTGTGTTACCTTCATAAACTCTTATTTAAAAGGAAAATAAACACTATTCTAACTTTATAGAGCTGGTTGAATTGAAGGTGGATGTTTTGAGACCCTATTAATAGTGATGTCAGTGATACAGTGTTTTCTTTCATCACTAGTTTTACTTACTCCCCTCTTCATTGTTGCTGTTACTGTATTCATTGATGTCCCCCTATGTGCCAGACTCTGGGTTAGGTGCTCCAGGTACAGTGTAAGATGTCCCTGCCATCACAGAGCTGCTGTTCTGTACAGGAGAAGACATAATAAACAACGTAAGTTTCAGAGCAATAAATGCCACAAGGAAAATAAACCAAGAAGGTATGACAGTGTTCAGGGCAGGATTTCTTAACCTATTAACATTTTGGGCCAGATAACTCTTAGTCACGGCGGGCTGTCCTGTGCCCTGTAGGATGTTAGCAATATCCTTGTCTTCCACTCTCTAGATGTGAGTAAACACCCTTCCCCCAAGGCATGACAACCCAAAGTGTCCCTACACATTGCCAGCTCCCTGGAGTGAAGTTGGCAGTCACTCAAACTGTATAACCACTTTGTACATACTAGGCGCTACTTATGTATTTGCTCTTTCATTATTTCCAGCATTTAAGAACTTACCTTTTGACTTTTTTATTCACAGCAATGGATTGCAAAGACAGACCGGCTTTTCCAGTAAAGAAGTTAATACAAGGTAACTTTCTGGGAATGGGTTAAATATTTGTTCCTATTTTATATCTTTCATTGTTTCCTCAATTATATTTTTAATTTCCCTTGAGCAGAGGTCATCTGTTGGAATCTTTAGCAGCAGTATCAAGAAGATGGGAGGGAAGAAGAACAATTACACTTTATATTGGAAGCCTGGGCACTCGTTTTATTACACTACCACTTCCCTAGGTTCCCAGGAGCAAATCCAGAGGTCTCTGCCTTTACAGCAGCCTTTCTCTACTTCAGTACTATTGATATTGTGTAATTTTTCGGGGTTGAGGGGCTGTCCTCACCTGAGCATATGTTTATTGATTTTTAGAGAGGGAGGGAGGTTGGGAAACATTGATATGAGAGAAGCATCAATTGGGTTGCCTCCCGTTTGCGCTCTGACCAGAGATCGAACTCAAACCTAGGCATGTGCCCTTACTGGGAATCAATCCCACACCTATCGTGTATGGGACGACACTCCAATCAACTGAACCACCTGGCCAGGGCAAAGTTTGATCATTTTTTAGTCTGAGGAATGTTAAAGTATAGATCAATTGTCACTCTTCACACTTGCACTGTAAAGACAGTCTCCTCTCTTCATTTTAGCTCGTCTGCCCTTCAAGCGCCTGAATCTTGCCCCAAAGGAGAAAACCAAGGACGCTTCAGACAACACCAGAAGCTCTCCAAGTGCTTCTGCACAAAGTCAAGTCTCTGATGTGGAAGCCTCTTTGGACAACTTGGAGAACAACTTTCATA